TGCACTGGATCTTTATTGCTGCACGCAGGCTTTCAAGATTTCTCTAGTTGGTGTTTGGGCTTTCCACTGTGGTCGCTTCTCTGGCCATGGAGCACAGGCTTTAGGCACACAGGCTTCAGTAGCTCGCCTCCCGGCCTCCAGACTGCAGCCTCAGTAGCTGCGGCACACAGGCTTAGCTGCTCTGGCCTGTGGGATTGTCCCAGACCAGGGATTGAACCCGAGTTCCCTGCATCGGCAGGTGGATTCTTCTCTGCTGCACAGCCAGGGAAGACCCTCCGCTTGTGTCTTAAACAGGATCCCACAGTTAGCGCCATATAGAACCAGGTAATCACACTGGGTGCTATGAGAGGGGAAGTCCCATTTTCTAATCTCAGTCTCCTGCTTCTTTTAAAAGCATATTTCATTGCAGCTCATATCAGCATCACATTTATTAATTTTTGTCTGACTTTGGGACAGGGAGGAGTCTGGGTCTGGAAGTCATGGCCCTCCCCGCCACACACATTGAATAGGTCTTAACTGAGCACTGTGAGCAAAGAATCCACCGGGCTGATGGGGTTTCGGGGGCTGACCGTTCCCTGGCCTGAAACTTCAGGAGTCTCATCAGCTCCTCACAGGGATCATGCAGTGAAATATGCTGACAACAGTGCTGGCTGCCTGAATATTATGTATGAGCTGGGTCTTCTTTTCTTAGTGAGTGGGACACCTCCGGAGTCACCAGAATTTGGGGTAGAATATGAAATCTTTTAGGCATAGGAAGAAAAAAAAAGCTTATTTTTGTTAACAAAATACAACTTCCTAAACAGCAGTTTTGTATTTGTTTCTTGTGTACTATGTACTAGGTACTATTAAAGTACTTACATGGAGAAATGGGCTTCCCTGGTGTCCCAGTAGTAAAGAATCCGCCTGACATTGGAGGAGATTCAGGAGATGCGGTTCAGTCCCTGGGTTGGGAAGAGCCCCTGGAGGAGGAAATGGCAACAGGATTCCAGTATTCTTGCCTGGCAAACCCCACTGACAAAGGAACCTGACAGGCGTGGGGTTGCAAAGAGTGGGACACGACAGACTGAGTGAACAACAACAAAAACAAATGTAGAGAAACTGATTTCATCCTATAAGATTCCAGTGAGTTAGTGTCATTATTAGCCCCATTTTATAGATGAGGAAATAGAGGTGGCGTATGGGTGAAAACTGCCCCTGAAAGCACAGCTCAAGAGAGATGAACCTGAGATTCACACCCAGATAATCTGAACCCTTTGCTATGATATATTTATGTATTTGCACACATTTGCTTTTGACATTTCATAACATTTTCAACAGAGTTTTGTTTTTTTTTAGCAAAATTAGACATATGTATTTTTAGTTTAGTTGGTTTAGTGGCTAAGTCGTGTCCAACTCTTTGCGACTCCATGGACTGCCAGGCTTCCCTTCTCTTCACTGTCCCCTGGAATTTGCTCAAGTTCACGTCCATTGAGTCAGTGGTGCCATCCAACCGTCTTATCCTCTGTTGCCCCCTCATCCTCTTGCCCTCAATCTTTCCCAGCATCAGGGTATTTTCCAATGAGTCGCATCAGGTGGCCAAAGTATTGGGCCTTCAGCTTCAGCATCAGTCCTTCCAGTGGATATTCTGGGTTGATTTCCTTTAGGATTGACTAAATACATATTGGACATATGTATTATCCAAAAAATACCCTATACAGTGCCACTTTTCCCGGAAGAGATAAAGGAGTTATCCTCAAGCCCACTTCATATATAGTGCTGCTTTCAAAATGAAAAGTTTACATTTTAATGTGTCACTAATTCTCTCAAAGTAATTGTAAGATATGTATTTTAATTTTACTGTTGCGGTACCATGATGGGTGCTAGAAATGTGGGCTTATGTGATGAGGGATGATATTGGGAATAATAGTTTTTAAAAAATCAGTCTAGGTAATTCCCTGGTGGTCCAGTGGTTAGGATTCTGAGCTTCCACTGCAAGAGGCCCAGGTTCTATCTCTGGTCTGGGAATTAAGATCCCACATTCCATGCTGTGTAGCCAAATACATAAATAAAAATAAAAATCAGTCTACAGTATTCCTTGGTATAAGTAGAAAATAATTAAAATAAAATTTTTCAGAGGAACACTTTTTGACTACTGGAAAGACCTGTTTCAAGCAATGTTCATACGAATATCACACATACACTCATAATATCACACACACATCACACACACACTCATGATATCACACACACACACATTCATAATATCAAACACACTCATAATAGCATACACACACTCATAATATCACACACACTCAATATCACACACACTCATAATATCACATACATGCACATAAGATCACTTTTGAGCAAAACCATACAGTCAGCATAAACTTCCTTTGCTCAAGGAAGACAGACATAATTTGAACTGTGAATATTAACACAAGCTGAACTGATTTGAACATGCAAGCCAAGTTTAGTTAGACTACAAGTTAGGAAAGTCCATATCTAGGAAACAAACTGAAATCAGAACTTAGAATCTCCAGGAGGAACTAAATTTCTTCCTCCAAACTCCTACCGGGGGACTCTGCCCACCTTTCACCTGACATTAGTCTCATTGCCTCCCCCTCAGACTGTGAGGAAAAATGGGGCCCTTGAATCATCAGCTTTCTCCTCAAATATTAAATATGAAGAAAGTTTTTAGGGCCACCAGTCCTACATGTGATCATGTACTGATGTGAGCGTGTTCTGTTGTCATGGTTTAGTTGCTTAATCGTGTCTGACTCTATGGAACCTCATGGACTGTAGCCTGCCAGGCTCCTCTGTCCATGGGATTTCCCAGGCTAGAACACCAGGGTGCATTGCCATTTTCTTCTCCAGGGGACCTTCCCAACACAGGGATTGAATCCGCATCTCCAGCATGGGCAGGGTGATTCTTCACCACTGCACCAGCAGGGAAGCCTATGCGTGCGTTCTGCACATGCATACACACGCCTTCAGAGAAGCCAGCCGCTGGAAAGCTAAACATCAGGGAAAGAAACCTCATATCAGGAAAAACAAGGCCCGGGTGGCAGGATAGGGTGAGGAAGAATGTAAGTTACAAGAGAGCTTCTCACTAACCAGTTCTGCGGGCTCATCTCCTGAGTGTTACTGCTTCACTGGCCCCCCCATGAAAGGATGGAAGAAAAGGTGATTACTGAAGACAGAAGCTGAAAGGGTCCAGGGGGGCAGGGCGTGTGTGTGGCGTTAAGATCCCTCTGCCACGACAAAGCTGAGGACAGGGGTTCACAGTCTGTCACGTTGAGTTCTGATCAACTCCCTCCAAAACGGTCAGGCCTGGGTGTCTGGCTGCTGAAATTTCTATGCTTCACACTTTCTACTTTTAGCTCTCAGAGTCCTTGGTCGTTTTCACCAGAGTGCATTCTGTGGACATTTTAGGTGTTGGGAACGTTGTCAAATCAGACTGGGGGGAGGGGAGACGGAGGAAAAGGAAGACCCCTGCCTTGAAGACATCTCATTGATGGAACGCGTGTTGGATCAAAGCTCCATGCCATTCATCTTTTGTGGCTCTTTGTCGATCATGTTTGCTGGGAGGATAAGTGAACTCCGGGAAAAGGCATTCATCTAAATTATCCTCATAAAGTGCCATCATTCTATGTAAAAAGAAAAATGGAAGAGACAGCCGGTGTGTACACAGATGAATTAATGGAGGAAAAATACAAGGATTCCTTTATAATCAGTGTTTATACGTGCATATATATATAAACTACACATGTATGTATGTGTGTGCATAATTGTGTATATATATTTATGTAAGGGATTCCCTGGTAGCTCAGGGGTAAAAGAATCCATCTGCCAATGCAGAAGTCAGGGGTTCAATCCCTGGGGCAGGAAGATCCCCTGGAGGCAGAAATGGCAACCCCTTCCAGTATTCTTGCCTGGGTAATCCCACGGACAGAGGAGCCTGGTGGTCTACAGTCCAAGGAGTGGCCAAAGAATTGGACTTGACTGAGTGACTAAACAACGACAATTGCATTCATGTAAACCAGGATCTGATAGGCTAAAAGTTATCCTTGCGGGGACCTATTCAATCCTGACACTTTCGAAAGCACCGACCTAGACAGAAATGGAGAAACTTCTCACTGATAGAAAGCCAGTAACCAAATTGTAAATAAATATGGGCAGTGTCTGTGTGGACAAGCAGATAAGAAGATAAATGTCGAGTTTCTCTTAATTAGCCTTTCTTAATTAAAAACAGCAGCAGTATTGTGATCAAAATGAACTCTGGTGGGAGTGTGGTCACTTGGTCTTCTGAGTATCGCTGGAGGAAAATTAGATTTTTTTCCCACTCTTAGGATGAATGGTGCACTAAAGGAGGAATAAATGGTGTCTGTGAGCAATGTCCCTTTGGTTTTTATCTGTGTGAGATGGATGTGCCTCTTGCCAGTTTCCCAGTGGTGTGAGGGCAGACTTAGCCATCATTAGCACCCCAGGATGGATCCAATTCACTAATTACTTATGCTGTCCTGGTTCACTGAGATTTAAGTACCAAGTCAATCCCATTATCTGCAGTCTCCCAAGCTTGCCAGAGTCATCTGTCTTTCATGGAAAAGAAGTGCAAGGGTTATCAATCGGACCCCGCAAGACTTGGGATTTTCCCACTTCGGGAGAAGGCAAGATTAGTCCAGACTCCAGTCCAGGACCCTCTAAGCCGCCGCTTTGGATGCGATAAAAGTAAAGTGTGACAATTATCCGGGCCTAAGTGAAGAATGGGGAGGGGAAAAGCAGAGAGCAAAGGGGAGGGAGCGGGGAGGAGGAAAAAGAGAGGAGAGAGAAAAACCTGGGGAAGAGAACGCAGCCCTTCCCATCACTTTCGGGCTACGAATGACAATTCATCTGTTACAAACACAGGATTATACGTTGGACCTCAGGAATTAAAATATCCCGGGGCCGAGGCCCGCTCTGAGAGGATGGGGGGACAGGGAGGGGCCGCGGAGGGAGGAGCGGATGCAGGAGCCTCTCCATCAGCCTTGGGTGCTCCGGGCCTGGACCGGGTAGGATTCCAGCGGCTCCTCGGGCCCTGGGCGGGTGATTGGCACCTGCTTGGCGAAGGGGAGGGCCCAGCAGCTATTGGAGGCTCGGCCGTGTTCATCTGCACAATTGAGGAAGCAGAAGTGTGGCTACTCATACAGAAAAGAATCTTCTGAGCAGCGTGACATCTCTTGGAATGGAATATTTGTCTTTACAAATGATCGGTCCGCTGCCAGCTCTTGACATGGTGCTCGCAAACATGTGTAATTGTTGGAAGTGTAATGATGATTATTTGCATATTTAATGTTCAAACAGTACTGAAGAAGCAACCCCGGCTAAACCTTTTAGGGGGACGTTTGAATATGTTCAGCATCAGCCCGAGGGTTCCCAGGAAGGAGGGGGCATTCCCATGGAGAGCAGACACAGGGGTCATTGGCTTGAAGATCAAGGACATTTAGGGGGATGTGGTGCGCTCTGTACCCACGTGAGGTGCAAGGTCACCAGTGTGGGAAGGTGCTTTCTCTTGGCTCTGATTCAAATACAAACTGCAGAATACCCTGGATCAGGCTGGTCCTACACTCACACTCACCTAACTGTGAGCCCAGGAACAGTGGCCAGGGAAGTGGGGTAGAGCTCTGATGCTGTAGGCAGAACTCGTGACACTTTTTATCTACAGACATCATCCACCCATCAATGTAACCCCAAATAAATCATTCCTGAGGAATAACCCAGATGCACTGTTACAATGGCTTTGTATTCAGACTAGTAGGAAGAACATTTTTTTTTCCCCCTTAAAAAGTAGATGCCCTTCTAAGATTCTTTTCCAGCTTTCCCCTTAGATGGATCATTGTTCTATAAACCTTCATTTTCCTCTGGTTGTTGACTAAAGGTACTGTGCTGATCATAGCCATTCCCTTCTCCAGGGGATCCTCCCAACCCAGGGATCAAACCCAGGTATTCTGCACAGGCAGGCAGTTTCTTTGCCACCAGTGTCACCTGGGAAACCCAGGGTTCACGTGTGAAGTTGATGCTTTGCCTTTACAGCCGTGAGCACGTGAATTTGGGAGGCCCTCGGTGGTTGGACAGGGGATGCAGCATTTTCCCAAAGTAGGATCCAGTGTAGAAAACATGCCAAAAAATACAGAACACAGAATATTCCCTGAGCAAACGATGCTCACGGCACCAAATTTCTTACCAGTGATAAAGATACTGACCCTGGGAAGGGGGCGACCTGCCTTTCTGAAGCTGAGCTAACTAGACCTTCACAGCAGGCCGACCTGCGCCTACCCACAGACTTATAAAGCATCTTGAACAACTTGAAACTCGGAGATGGTGCTTCGTGCTCCAAATCAGCAGGAAAGGAGGTTTTAGATGCTGGTAATCATCTCAGGGAAAACATACCTCCCTGAAATCAATAGAATAATTTTTGATAATGTAGCCACTTGATCTGGTAATTTGTCCTTTCACCTGTAGTGAACGACTTGCTGGAGACTTTCTTGAGCTCTTAGATGCCTCTTACTGGAGGCTATCCTGTCCTTGTCTTTCGAAGGAGGCTGGATAATGAGCTTTTGAGCTTCCTCTTGGCTCTCCACCCACTCCAGCTTCCTCCGAGCTCCCCCCAGCCCCGGCCCAGAATCCCCTGCCCTAACTCACTAGGGAACGAGCCAGGGCTCATCACCAACCCAGACCCTGAAGGAGCGGCACCATCAACAGGACTCAAGTACCATTTTCTATCTTTGTTTTTTTTTTTTGGAGGTGGATACAGACCACTCTTATCTTTATTTAAAATTGTCACATTTTGTTCATCGTGAATTTTTTGCATTAACTTTGATTTTTAAAATTGTTTTATTGTGGTGAAAGTCACATAATATGAAAGCTGTTCATTTGACCAGGTTTAACTGTACAGTTTAGGGACACTAAGTATGTTTGCATTGTTGTGCAGCTCCAACCGTCATCCATCTCCCGAATTTTTCACCTTCCTGAACTGAAACTCTGTCGCCAGTGAACACTAAGTCCCTACTGCCCCTTCCCACCTCCCACCCCCAACAGGGGCCTAGAGACTGAGCGTCTCCGTTTTAGACTGCATCCTCCCAGGCACCACTCTTGGCAAAGCTGACCATGGCTGGAAGTGACCTTGGGTGTGGTGTGGCAGCGGCGTGATTTACCTGCAGCAGGTGGGGTTGGCATGTTACCTTTCCTCCCTGTCAGACAGATGACTAATCCTTGAGGAATTGAAAAACACTTGAGTTTTCCTTCTGAGCATCAAAGCGATCAACCACTCTGTAACAATATGAAGGATGTACCCACAGTGAAGGTTTCTATAGTTCCAGACACTCATCAGATTCATCTTAATTTTTGTGAACAACCTGATGAGATGGATACTGTAGTCCCAAGCCCCCTTTTTAATGGATCAGGAAACTAAGGAATGGAGAGAATAAATGAGCCCAGTGTTCACAGCTCACAAAGGATAACTCTGTTAACTTCAGGCTTTATATAAGGACACGAAGACAGTCTCATCTCCCTGGATTCTTTTATTCCAGGATCGAAAGACTGCTTGCCATTTAGTGCGTCAGTTTAGAAAGAGGCTCATGGGAAGTGGTGATGGCCACCGCTGACCCTGGGGGTCAAGTTCATTACTCTCCTACAGTCCAGAACACAGAAAGCTAAGGAATTCATCTTTCTTAATATAATATTAAACCAACCCTTGGGATACAAAGTGGAATTTTATTCCTTGTTAAATTCTTTGAAGAGCAAAGTATTTAAAAAAACATATGACAATAATTAGCAGTATTTCTTTAGGGGTTTGTTGGTTTGACCTTAGCCTTTTAATCTGTCAAACTATGCTAATCGGCCTGACAGACAGAAAGATAAAATGCAGAAGCAGAAACACTAGTGGGAGACAGGAAAAGAGAGGACAGAGAGAGGAACCAAGGGTAAGTGAAGGGCGCGGCGTCCGCTCCTCACTGCGGCACACTTCCTGGGTGGCCCTAAAAGTCAGCACTATTTTTATTCCAGGCAACTCACTATTTTTATTCTAAGCCCAGTAAAGTGAGGAAGCTCGTTGGAGTATGTTACAGAAATCGCCTTTTCCTGGGAACTGAGTGTGAAATGTGTTGTTGTTCAGTCACACGTTCATGTCCGACTCTTTGAGACCCCATGGACTCACAGCACACAAGGTTTCCCTGTCCTTCACAATCTGCCGGAACTTGCTCAAACTTATGTCCATCGAGTGGGTGATGCCATCCAACCGTCTCATCCGCTGTCATACCCTTCTCCTTCTCTCAGTCTTTCCCAGCATCAGGATCTGTTCCAATGAGTCAGCTCTTTGCATCAGTTAGCCAAAGTACTGGAGCTTCAGCTTCAGCATCAGTCCTTCCAATGAATCTCCTTTAGGATTGACTGGCTTGATCTCCTTGCAGTCCAAGAGACTCTCAAAAGTCTTCTCCAACATGACAGTTCAAAAGCATCATTTCTTCTGTCCAACTCTCACATCTGTACATTACTACTGGAAAAACCATAGTTTTGACTATATGAACCTTTGTTGGCAAAGGGGTGAAATAAGATTATAGTTAAAAAAGTTGTGAATGGGCTGGGAAATACATAACAAGTCCTCAGTGGAGCCTCCAAGTCATGGTGTCTGTAGTGCCAGCTGAGTGACTTATGTGAGTCTGTAATTTTGGCAGAGCCGTTTTTGCTTCTCACCAAATATACACGGGCTTCCCTGATTTTTCAGATTTCCCTGTGCTGCAGGGGACTATGGGATGGGGTGAGGACAGATGACAGGTGTCATTTTTTGAGTGAAAGCATTTAAGAGCTGTTGTGTGACCTTCCAGCCTTCTCTCCTGCCAAGGAGAATGCAGGGTTTGAAATTCAGATGGTCCAGCTCCTGGGTGAACCATCCTTGATTTCCTGGATTTGTTAGCTACTGGGTAGAGCTGACAGAATTAGATATATGTACCATGAGCAGGTACCCTGGTAGGACTTCCCTGGTGGCTTAGATGGTAAAAAATTTGCCTGCAATGCAGGAGACCCAAGTTCAATCCCTAGGTGGGGATGATCCCCTGGAGAAGGCAATGACAACCCACTCCAATATTCTTGCCTGGAGAATCCCATGGATAGATTAGCCTGCCGGGCTACAGTCCATGGGATCACAGAGAACTGGACATGACTGAGCAACTTTGAGTTCACTCATGATGAGTAGGAGATAAACTGTTGCAGTCATACAGAACACTGAGTTTAGGGTTCTTTTGTTACTTCAGCATTTTAAAGGCTACAGAAGCACATAAGTAACTCTTTCTAGTAACTGAATTGCACATATCTTTTGAGTTCATATATCAGCAACCAAATTATTTAGTTTATTAGTATGTGTCTCAGTCGCTCAGTAGCCCAACAGGCTCCTCTGTTCATGCAATTTTCCACACAAGAATACTGGAGGGGGTTGCTACTTCCTACTCCATCTTCTCAGCCCAGGGATTGAACTCACGTTTCTTGCATCTCCTGCATTGGCAGGCAGGTTCTTTACCCCTAGTATCACCTGGGAAGCACAGTTTATTTGGAGGAGAAAATGGCAACTCACTCCAGTATTCTTGCCTGGAAAATCCCTGGTAAGCTACAGTCCATGGGGTCACAAAGAGTCAGACATGACTGAGCAACTAAACCATGAAGAAAGATTAAAAGGGAAATTGGTGAATGCATTCATCATTGTAAACACTGTGTGAGATGCTTTAATAAGTCATTTCACTTTGGACTCCCAGGAAAAAAAGAGGTTAGATGTTGATATTTCATCATTTCTTAAATAAAAAGGAAAAGGAAGCTCCGAGAGGATAAACAACTTGCCTGAGGATATATAGTCATTTTTCTGGAAGTTTATACATTTGTCTCTAAAATCTATGTTTTATGCTTTATATCCACTAAGCCCTCCTGGAAAAGCAAACTAAAGACTATTTTTGGGTCTTAGAAGTTGGGGAATGGATAGAATAATCTATTCACAATTTTAGAAGCCACAGATCCATGATTCTGTGTTAAGTTCAGCAAGGTAGCAATCATAACGTTCCTCTGTAACAGCATCTCAACCCAATCCCCTCAAAACATTATTATTACTGGTTTCTTGATGAACCTTTA